AATGTTCTGTACCCATGCAATGCGTAAGGTAGCATCTCATGCCAATCCTTATATGTAACGACCATTTTTTGAACGATCTTCTTGATATTCTTGTTGGCTGCCTCAACTTCCCCATTCATTTTTGGCCTATAAGGGGAGGAGTTATGATGTTGAATCTTGAAAGAGTCACATAATTCAGTCATCATCTTGTTGTTGAGGTTGGACCCATTGTCTGTTATAATTTTTTCAGGTATTCCATAACGACATATTATGTTTTTTTCTGACAAAATTGACCACCACTTTACGGGTTACATGTGCGTATGACGTGGCTTCGACCCATTTGGTGAAGTAATCAATAGCCACAAGAATGAATCTATATCCATTTGAGGCCTTGGGTTCAATAGGTCCAATGACGTCCATGCCCCACATCGAGAAAGGCCAGGGTGAGGCCATTACATCTCACTTGGTGGGACTTGGATATTATCAACATATATTTGGCATTTGTGGCACTTCCTAGCATACATGATGCAATCCTTCTCTATAGTGGACCAAAAGTATCCTGCCCTCATGATCTTTCTGGCCATGACCTGTCCAGCTATATGGGTACCGAAGGTTCCTTCGTGGACTTCTTTCATTAATGATTGAGACTCCTTCTGACCAATACATCTTAACAGGATGGAATCAAAACTCTTCTTGTACAGGATGTTCTCATGTAATACGAATCCGATAGCCCTTCGTCTGATTGTTTTCTTGTCATTGTCAGATGCCCCGACTGGGTATTTCCCTTCTTTGATGTATTGATGGATGTCAAAATACCAAGGATGGCCATCTTCCTCTTCTTCCAGTGTGCAACAATGAGCTTGTGTCTCATGTCATCTGATTCTGATGACCGGTATTTCACATCCCTCTTTTATAGCAAACATGGAAGCTAGTGTGGCCAGCGCATCTACTAACTGATTCCCCTCTCTTGGGGTATGCTGACAAGATCAATATTGTATTTGTATCGTTGCAAGAAGGCGTCAGCGAGCTGCTTCCATGTTTGGATCCTTCCTCCCTTTAGCTGCATGTACCAGTTGAGGGCCGCATCCAATAAGCTTTCCTGAAAATAGTGTATCAGGAGCTTCTCGTTGTTCACATGGGCGGCCATCTTCCGACAGTACATCGTCAGATGCCTTTT